AGATCTTCCATGTCTTTGTTGAGCTTCTTTCTGGATGTTCTGTCCTTCACCAAAAGTGGTGTGTTGAAGTCTTCTCCTACTGTTGTGGAACTGTCTCTCTTTTCAGTGTTGTTAGAGTTTGTTTTAAGTATTTTGTAGCCCTATTGTTGGGTGCATAAATATTTATTATAGTTAATGTCCTTCTGGTGTAGTGACCCTTTAATCATTATATAGTGTCCTTCCTTATCCTTTGTGGTGGATTTGACTTTAAAGTCTATTTTGTCAGTGGTTAATATTGCCACTCCTGCTCTTTTTGGAGTGCTATTTGCTTGATATATTTTTTTCTATCCTTTGAGTTTTAGTTTCTTTGTGTCTTTAAGTCTAAGGTGTGTCTCTTGTAGGCAGCATATAGATGGATCGTGTTTTTTAATCCAATCTGCGACTCAGTCTCTTTATTGGTGCATTTAGTCCATTTACATTCAGTGTAATTATTGACAGGTATGAGTTTAGGGCCGTCATTTTGATGTCTTTTTTTGTGTATTGTTCACAGTTTCTTTGTTCTGCTTAATTTTCTGTGCTGAGTCGTTTTTCCTTACGTATTTTCTTTTCATCTTTTTCACTGTTGTTGATTTTGTGTTTGCTGAGTCTTTATGTTTTTGTAATTTTTTATTTTGACTTGTAGGATTGTTAGTTTCCTTTGTGGTTACCTTAATATTTACCCCTATTTTTCTAAGTTTATACCAGTCTTTTATTTCTTTATATCGCCTTGACTTCCTCTCCACATGAAAAATCTATGACTACATTTTTTAAGTCCCTCTTTTTTGTTTTAATGTCATCTTTTTTTACATATTGACATCTGTTTCCTTATTTTAAGTGTTTTTGCCTTGATTTATTTTTGTGACTTCCCTATGTAGGTTTATATCTGGTTGCTCTGTCCTGTGTGCTAGTCTTGGGTTGTTATCTGACGTTATTGATTTTCCAACAGAAGGACTCCCTTTAGTATTTCTTGTAATTTTGGTTTGATTTTTGCAAATTCCCTGAACTTCTATTTATCTGGAAATGCCCTAATTTCACCATCATATTTGAGGGACAGTTTTGCTGGATATGTAATTCTTGGTTGGCAACTTTTTTCCTTCAAGGCTTTATATATGTCATCCCATTGCCTTCTTGCCTGCATAGTTTCTGCTGAGTAGTCCGAGCTTATTCTTATTCACTGTCCTTTGTAGATGACTTTTCATTTATCCCTAGCCACTCTTAAAATTCTCTCTTTATCTTTGGTTTTGGCAAGTTTGATTATAATACTCCTTGGTGACTTTCTTTCGGGGATCTACCTTATGTGGGGTTTGATGAGCATCTTGGATAGATATCTTGTCATCTTTCATGATATCAGGGAAGTTTTCTGCCGACAAATCTTCAACAATTCTCTCTGTATTTTCTGTTAACCCCCTCTGTTCTGGTACTCCAATCACTTGTAGGTTATTCCTCTTGATAGAATCCCACATAATTCTTAGAGTTTCTTCGTTTTTAGAAGTCCTTTTATCTGATTTTTCCTCAAATAGGTTGGTGTCAAGTGCTTTATCTTCAGTCTCACTAATTCTGACTTCCATTGCCTCAATTCTGCTCCTATGACTTTCTGTTGAGTTGTCTAATTCTGAAATTTTATTGTTAATCTTCTGGATTTCTGATTGCTGCCTCTCTATGGATTCTTGCAGCCTTTTAAATTTGTCATTATGCTCTTCTCTAATCCTTGTAATTTCTTCTATTGCGTGTTCTGCATTGTATTTAATTTCCTTCCTAATCTCTTGAAGAGTTCCTTATATTAATCTTTGGTATTCTGGCTCCAGTAATTCCAAGAAATTTTCCTCCTCTGGAAAATTTCTAGATTCTTTACTTTGGGAGCTTGCTGAAGCCATCATGGACTGCCTCTTTATGTGATTTGTATTGAAAGTTGTCTCTGAGCCATCAATAAGTTATTATATTTATTTATTTTATGTTTACTTACTGTGTCCTAGCTTCTTGTTTTGCTTTGATATGTCCAAATAGGCTGCTCATGTGAGCTAGTTTGATTATTGGCACCTTTGAAGCTCTAATGTCCTGGCAACCCCCGAGTGTCCAGGAGGAAGAGTGTCCCTGTTCTCTAGAGCATGTAGGTGGGTAGGTTTTGTGACCGGACTATGAGCACCCGATGCTGTTGGCTGTAAGAACTAGGGGGCACCTCTTATTCTTGGGCTAGGTGGCATGGATAGGTGAAAAGATCCTGCTTAATGGGCAGACCAGTGTCAAATGTCACAAACCTGCCACTCATAGCTGAAACAGTTGAAGTTAGACTTCAGGTATATACTCTGTTGTACTGTGGTAATGAGGGCCTATGCTGTTGAAATGGGCCCACAGAAGTCTCTGCAGGGGGAAAGGCACTCAAAGTCCATGGATCCCTTATGCCACTGCCTAGGCAAAGGAGCTGTGCCTACCCTGAGTTCCTGCTTAGGGGAGCCGGCAGTTTATTTTTTCCTGTTTGTTCATTTGTTCACTCTCCAAGGCCAGGAGAATGGCTCTGGATGTGTTACGGATCCTACTTCTGCCCCAGGGGACTTGGCAATTGCTGAAGCCTGTCAGGGATCCAGTGCAGAGCAGGGAGTGGGGAGGTAAATGGGAGAGAGATTTTTCCCTAAAGTGGAGTGTTTTTGATCCTTGCAGTAGGCTGGACACAAGTGCTTATCTTTTGCTGATCGAGGGCTGCTTCTCACTGGTTCTGGGTGGCTGAATAGACTCTCTGCCACTGGGTTTCTGCCGGTGCAGAAAAGCCCTCCCAAGCACCACAGCTTGCTTGCCTCACCACTCGCTCATGAGCTGATCTGGCCTGAAGGGCTCAGGCTCTCACTGGGTCACGTCTGGCAACTTGTCGATGCTTCCGAACTGTCTCTCCCTCCCCCTGCCACTCAGGCCGGTTCCTCAACTTTGCCTTTGATGTTCAGGGCTCCTAGATTGTCATATATAATCGATTCACTTGTTTTTTTGGGTCTTTGTTGTAAGAGGGTCCACTGGAAGTGTCTTACTACTCTGCCATCTTGGGCCCATAGCTTCTAATTTCTTTAGGTACATTTTCTAAGTTCCTCTTCACTTTGACCATTTATTTACTTTTGACCTTTCATTAACATTTTGTTTTAAATATGTTTTCTATAAATTGCATAAAGTTGAGTGTTTATTTTTAACTCAATCTGATAGTTGGAGTTTCAATGAGAGAGTTCAATCTCTTATGTTTAATGTAATAACTGATGTATTTGATATTAATTTCCAGTTTGTTGTTGTTGTTAGTTACCATTGGATCGATTCCAACTGATGGCACAATCAGTTAAGAACTTGACTACTAGCCAAAAGTTTGGTGGTTAGAACTCACCCAGAGGCACTTCAGAGGACAGTTCCTGTGATCTGCTTCCAAAAGGTTGCAGCCTTGAAAACCCTATGAAGCAGTTCTACTCTACATCCATGGATCCCCAAGATTTCCAGTTTATATGTAAACTATTGTCTTTGTTGCAGAAGCATTACAGTATTTAGTAGTAAAAGCACCCAACTACCTTACTTCAGATTTCAGCTCTACCACTTGCAAAATGGGCTCATTATTTTACATCTCTTGCTTCAGTTTTCTCATCTGTAAAATGTGTAGTATCTACCTCTTGGCAATAAAGAATATGTATCTGTTTAGTTTATTTGTTTTCTCCCCTTGAGTATTGCCAGAACCGAAAGAGGTCAATGTGATTAGAGCAGGGAAGTGAAAAAAATGAAATTGGAGAGGGAGGTTGGGGCTGCTTCACGCAATATCATGTACATCAGAGTAAAAGATGCATTTGCTATTAGAAGCATAACAGGAAGCAACTGAAGAGGTACAAGCAAATGAGAAATTTAAAATATATACTCTGTCTTTAGAAAATATATTTTGGAGATAGAAATGACAGGTCTTACTGATGGATGTGACAGGTATGAGTAAGGGAGAATTAAAGAATAATACACAGGTCTCAGACCCACATCAGAGCATCTGGGTGGATGTTGGTGACATTACTTAGATCTGGGTAATTGGGTAAGGACTGAGATTGATTGTGTGAATGTTGCAGGGAGGTTAGGAATCGTAAGTGACATTTGAAAGCATTTGTGAGATGTTATGCTAGTTTTCTATTGCTGCTGTAACAATTTACCCTAAACTTAGTGCCTTAAAAACAACAAAAATTTATTATTTTATCTTAATAGTTACATTCAAGTCAACACCTTAGGAATATATTTGAAAATAGTTTTCTAATGTTTCCAAGGAAAATAAATATGTTTACATTTAAATTTTATAAAAGTTCTACTTTTCCACAGTTTCCAAAGAAATTATTTTAAAAAACATACCAGAACTAAATTATCAACCCATTAAAATATTCCATATCTAATAAAACATATTTGCAGTTAGTCAGTGATGATGTAATAGGTTGTCTTTGCTTGGGTTGCCCTGAAAGAAGAATCAAAGGCAAGGACTTGAGTGCAAATCATTTATTTCTGAGATGATCCTGGGGAGGAGGAGTGAGGGAGAAGGGAGACTGTGACAGAGAAGGAAAAAAGTTAATTCTAGGGTTTGTTATTGAAGCTGCCTCCATGGGCAACAAGGAGTTCAATTTCAAGGACTTGATGAGAAGTATTTGGAATGCCTCCCAGAATTCTCTGACCAAAAGCAGAAGGCAGGAGTGTTTATTCATTGGTTCCTGTCCTCCACTGGTTGACATTTACCCCTGGAGGCATTAAACCTGTACTTCCCTGCTGCATTTGCACAAAGGACAAGCTGGCTGCCAGGGCTCCAGGGAAAGCCCTAGGGCAGAAAGCAAGAAGTCCTCGGTGGTACACCTAAGGGGAGATGCTGTCTGTGGGAGATGAACTTGAACATCTACTACATAGGAAGATTCTGGATGCTTTTCTTTCGTTGAAACAGTGGATATGTGCACTCAATATTCAGCCCTGTTCCAAGGTGCCTTCTTTTCCATTTCATTACCCTTATTCTAGAGGTAGCAGCTTTCAAAATACATCTGATTACATGGTGTGTTGTATTCTGCAAGTGCATATTCATCTGAAAGAAAGAAATTGTGATTAGAAACACTCTCACAATACTGTTTAAGAGAAATCATCTTTACCTCTTACCTCTGTTCAGAAACAAAATCTCCTAAGTCTATGATACTATAACAGTGTCTTTGTTCAACATCTTCCAAATATATTTTTATTCCTCTGAATTATACCACATTTCAAGCATACATATATGATCATTCTTATGTGTTTCAGGTATGACATTTTGTATATAATACCTATTAAAACCTGGTAGAGGTTTGGACTTTAGCTTCTAGGTAGAGGGTCCACATTATCGTAAGAGCTGGAGGGACAGTGAAACTTAGTTTGATCATCCAGGTCTTTGGCAACAGGTAAAGATGTACTTACTAAATGCATGGGAACCCAAAGTTTGTAAATCACTATTTAGTGGATAAACACCCACTCATTTGGCTGAAGTATTTATTAATATAAAAAAAGAAAACCAAACCCGTTGCCGTTGAGTCGATTCCAACTCATAGCGACCCTGTAGGACAGAGTAGAACTGCCCCATAGAGTTTCCAAGGAGCTCCTGGTGGATTCGAACTGCTGACCTTTTGGTTAGCAGCCGCAGCACTTAAATACAGTGTGTATAAAATAGATAACTTTTTTTTTTTTAAACCTAAAACTGTAAGCCATTTATTGGCTTATATAATCTGACTTGAAATAATTAATTTGCCATTTTCATATTTTGGTAGTTGTTAGATCTATATTTCAGTTTCTTAATAGCTATAATATTTTTATATAAGAAAAGCAGAATGTTATAGTCCAGGCAAACCTTGATTTCAAGTAAAAACACCCAATTTATAGCCCTGGCTGTGTTACTTACTGGCTTTGAGATATCAGTAAGAATTTAACTTTCCTGACCGTTGGTTAAAACAACGCAATAAAAATGTGGTTAAACAGAAAGAAAGCAGAAATCCCAAACTACTTGACAAAATAGCTCTGATTCTAAATGTATGTTTTATTTTAAAATTTCACTGTATTGGACAGTATGCGGATAGATAGATGATGGCTAACTAGATAGATAGATAGATGCCTGAACTAGCCTGTTGAAGGATGAGAGGCCAGAAAAGGTTGACTCAGCTAACACCTAGCGAGCCTCCAACCAAGAGCCTGCCAACCACCAGGCGTTTGAATGCCGCAGCCCTAGATTATCCAGCCAGCTGACCTACCAGCTGACCGCAAACGCAGGAGCAATCTGAGCAGAAATTAGCTGAGCCAGCCCAGGTCAGCCAGCCTGGCTGATCCATAGAATTGTGAGGAATAATAAATGATTGTGGCTTAAAAAAATACTTTGTCAAAATATTTTTACCAAGGTATCGCTATCATCACTAACAATAGATGAATTTCTTCCTCTATTCATATAAACACATGATTTCTGCATCCTCTACTCCACATCGTTGTTGTTGTTGATTTTAGCTCTCATCCAGTCAGCTCCAGACTCAGAGCTACCCCAGGCACAATGGGATCGGACTGTTGTGGATCCATAGGGTTTTCATTGGCTTATTTTTTAAAAGTAGCTTGCTAAGATTTTCTTTCTAGTCTGTCTTAGTCCGAAAGCTCCACTGAAATATATTCAGCATCATAGCAACACACAAGCCTCCACTGACCTATGGGTGATGGCTGCACTTGAGATGCATTGGTTGGAAATCGAACTGGGTCTCCCCATAAAATGCAAGAATTCTACCACTGGACCACGACCACCCCCTAATCCTTACTAACGCATAAATAAACTGTATGTCAATATTCACAGCCACTATCTTTGTTTGGCCTGAATCTACAATTTTCTGCAGTAATTTAGAACATTCTAGTGAAAAGATTGGTTAAGAAAAATTGTGCCAGTCATGCTTTTATGGAGAGACACAATCTCAAAGTGTGTTTGCTATTGAAACTTTGAAACAGTTTGTATTAGGTGGCACTAAAAGTTAGAAGACATCAAATAAGGGAAGATGATTTCAAAAATGGCAGCTACAACACCAGCAGAGAAAAATGAAAATTGGTTTATGTTTAATTTAACGTAGAAAATAAACAGAACATTAAAACACAATAAAATTCTTACCAGTTTCATAGTAATCATAGAGCTGAACGGATGCTGGCCTGATGTTGGATACAAGTGCATCTTGTTCAACGGAGAATGAGAACTGAATTTTCTTTTCAGTAACCTGGAAATAAATACGTTAGGCATATTGGAATTTAGTTCCTCAATTTCTCTCCATTTCAAATACTCAGAATTATTTTAACTATGCTATTTTTGTACTTGGGTCCTTAAGAAAATAAAAAACATAAAAAAGTTTATGTTAAAAAATGTTATAAAACAATGCTGATTTTAAATCTTAGAGAAATGCATTGCACAGGTGGCTGCGTAGACACACCAACACACAAACTGAATAGCAACAGTAAACTTACATTCTCCAAATAGAAAAAGACATGGGAGGTTTTGGTTTCTACTTGTTGTACTTTGCCATCTCTCTGAAGCTAAAAGGATGAGAAAAAAATGTGCTGAAAATTCAGAGACTAGTAATACAAATGTCTGGTTATTCAAAAAGACAAAAATATTCATTTTCAATTTGGTGGCTTTCCCACATCTTTACAAACACCTGCAATGTTCCCCTATAGCCTCAGCAACAAATATTAACTTTTGAGGTTTATTCATTCAACATTTTTTGAGAAATCTGTCTGTACAATATTAGTTTCTAAACTTTCAATAAATAGAATATTGAATAGAATAGAATAATAACTAAATAACAACTTATCTACCTGCTTTATTTTTTCATGATTTCCTGTCTTGACAATATAAGAATATAAATAAATTTGAGAATCTCAAACGATGTTGTACTACTAGATACATATGAGATTTAAATTTCATTCCTTGAGAATATAAAAAGTGTCTTTTTTTCCCATCAATTTGTGGCGAAGATAGAGCAGAGATTAGCAGAGCCAGCCCGTGTGTTACAAGGCTTAATGTGTCATAGACAACTTCAAAGTTATTTTAATTAAAAACATTTAATTCTTTACCTTCTCAATAGATGATCTGACAGGTACAAAGCCTGAAAGCATCTTCACGTCAATGATTACCATGTTGGAAGTGCTGCGCTTTCCATGATAACTATTTTTAAAAAGCACAGAATTTAAAATTCAGATAAACTTTGGTCACCATTAAAAAAAAGGATTTCCAATAGAAATGTATTCACTTGCAAAGCTGTTTAGTCATAGGATAAACCAGAAGAGGGTTTTGCATTCTGACATATTCCTTAAGCTAAAATTGAACAAATGGGCTGATATAATTAAATATTATATGAAAATACAACATGCAGAAAATCTAAGATGTGCTTTAACTTTCACTTTTGTATGTTTTCATAATATCCCAGAGTCTCAAATTTCCCTGTGAAAAGTGAAGCTCTCATTCAGTAATTCTGTTTATAGGATTTTTTAAAAGAGATTATTTTTACTGAATTGGATAATTTGGTGGCTTGTAGGCATAGTTAAATGTGGGTAAACACACAATTTTTGGACTGAAACAGAAAACTCAGTTGTATTAGTTATTCTGTTTTATCATAATCTTTGTGTTGTTCATTGTTCTGAGATTAGAACAGTCTTGTAATAAACTGAATTAATGATGTTACAGTATGAAGCAACATAAATTTCGACCTATTCCTAAGTGAACCCAAAAAGTTTCACCTGACTGATATTCTTGCTTTGGAACTTTGTGTTGCAGAATGAAGAGATTGCGCTATGTTAATTCACGAAATAGGAAATTTAGCAAGAGGTATCTTTTAAGAAGGAATTTGTAAAACTTTTTTTCCTACAACTTCCTTCTCTCCTTTCTATTCCATACTTTTCAAGTCACTTTTTTTTTTTCTACCTAGTATCCGCCCACAGGCACCTCAGAAGAAAGACTGCTGATCTACTTCCAAAAAATCAGCCACTGAAATCTCTATGGAGTGCAGTTCTACTCTGACACACATGGGGTCGCCACGAGTCAGAGCAGACTCAATGGCAAATGATGGTGGTGGTGGTGGCTTATCTTATACAGTTTAGGCAATTTAAACAAGATAAAATATATTCCCCTAGGGAATCAAGACAGGTCAACTTCTTCCATAAAATAATTGGGATATGGTTTCACATGGAGGCAGAGAGAGACATTATGCTATCGCCATTAGAGGTAGAGGCATGTCTAAAAACTTACAGAAAAAGAAAAAAGTTATTACCTGGCTGAAATAACAAGGTCAAACTTTTTCTCAAATGATCCTCTGCAGACAGCATTTTCTGTATTCACAGAAAGAAAAAACCCAGATGACTTGCTGGGGAGTAGAATGTTATATTTCAGGATTGTCTAGAATAAATATAGAATAATATTGTTTATTAACCAAATAATTACTTTTACATTTATTACCTTAACATTAACATTTCCACTTAAAAGTCAGTTTTTACCTCAGTGCTTCCTATTTTCTTTAGTAACAACAGAAACGTAGTTAACATTTATTGAGTACATACTTTTAAGTGCTTTTTATATAATAACCCATTTTATCTTTTCAACAACCCTGTGAAGTAGATGGTACGTTTAGCCCCATTTTACAGGTGAGATAATCTAAATAGAAGTAGGTAACTTGTCAAAATAACATAACTTATCAAAACTTATACAGCTAATAAGTAGCAGAACTGAAATACATCTATATTGTCTCTTGGATAATGATTAAAATGATCTGATTTCTACCTTAAGAAACTGATAAAATTCTAGCAGATAATGTCAGAACTGCAGGAATCAAGGTGAGTACCAGGATTACAGTCAACGAACTAACAGGGAAATCTAAATCCAGAACAATATGACTTGGAAATAGGCTTAGTTAAAGACGTGACCTAATATTTCCATTTTGAAGATATACTAGTCCAAGTATAAAATAATACCTGCACAGCATTATTCATTACAGCACTATATGTAATAGCCAAAGAAAGGAAACAACTCAAATGTGCATCAATATTTGACTTAGTATATATACTCTGGTATAGCCATATAGTGTGGAAATAGTGTATGTTAAATACTTGTAGAGAATGCTACTCTAAGTCTATAAATGTACAAGAAATAAGAATATATAGCATTCATACTAGCTTACGTTGAGAAAAAAAAACAAAAACCAGTGGAAGAACAAATCAGAAATTCATAAATATAGTTATCTAGAAGGAGTAGGAGTGAGTAGGGGGTGAGTTTAGGCTATAGCAACGGAAGTGAGATTTGTCTGAATATAACTTTTTATACAGTTTTAACTTTAAACTGCGTATATATTACACATATTCAACAAAACTAAATTAAATCTAAATGAAGAAAGCAAACCTGTAATTGAATAAAAATAGAAGTTGATGAACCTAACTGTATCAAATTGGTAGCATAATCACACAAATTAAAAATTAGAACACAGTTCTTTGGCTATATATATTTAGTGGTATATATTCTAAAAGCAAATACAGTACTTAAAAAAGGCTGAAACTTCATTCAGTAGTTCTATCTACCAGTACCATTGCTTTGTTATTTTAAAACTATTTTCGCTATATTTTTAGGACTAATACAGGTATGTTATTAAAGTGTGTCAATGATATTAAAATGAAGAAAAAACAGTGATTGAAAAAATAGATACAAGTGCATATTCAAATACGTGAATGCATTTTAATAGATAGTATTACACGTGAATAGGAATATTAGTAGGGACTCACAGTTTTTAAAACTATGTTCCCTAGCTCTCTCCACTGCAAGAACCTGAATGCAAAAGTATCTCAGTAGCAATAAGGACCACCGGTACATAGGCTTAAATTAAAATACTATACTCCACTGAAAAGATTAATATTTCTTGGTGAAATAGCTGAGGTAGGTAAAATGCAAAATAAAACTAGCCTCCCCTCTCCCTTTTTTTTTTTTTAAGACGCCAAGAAAGCATCCAAAGACTAATGCAGTGATGATGAAAGATCACAGGAAACACCCTAAAGGGATTTGGAACAATTAAGACTATGAGAATAAACAGTGACTGTAATTGACTTAATATATCATATTCACAATACTCCAAAAGGAAAAAAGCCATAAACAAACACAAAACTCACTTGCTACCACTGGAGGTGATTATCACACTGATTATTTTTTGTTGACTGCCAATTGAGGGAAAGAATTGAGCATTCATTCTGCCCCTTCAGAAAGGCAACTCAGCATCCCCAGATTCTGCAGAGGAGCTCTTCTTTGTAGAAGAACCAAACCAAAAAAACTAAACCTGTTGCCACCAAGTCAAATCAGACTCATAGTGACCTTGCAGGACACAGTAGAACTGTCCCATAGGGTTTCCAAGGAGTAGCTGGTGGATTTGAACTGCTGACCTTTTGGTTAGCAGCCAAACACTTAACCACTGTACCACCAGGGCTCCTGTAGAACACCAGCTGATAAAGGTGGAAGGTATGATAGAATTAGAAAATGACTGCTATGCAGTTCTTAATGAAATAGTTGACGTAGGCAAAGATAGTCAATGCATGTTATAACCTTTAGGTAAAAACTGATGTGGAAGTAGATATTTATATTATTCCAGTGTATCACTTTATATATTGATTGTTAGTTATAAAGGAGAAAGAATAGCACCTCTGATGGAGACATATGGCTGTCACCATGTTAATACAATGATCAAACTCAACATCACTAATAGTGATGTGTTTCCTGATGTGATGTGGTATGAATAAAGATCTAACATTCAGTTTATAGATCATATAGGGAATGGGACAACAAATTAAGTGACACCAAAAAGAAAGTAACCTGATAAATCCAGGATGAGAAATATTCTACAACTGGCCTGATCTCTTCAAAAGTTAATGTCATGCCAAATACAAGACTGACAGAACTGCTAAGTTAAAAGAGACCCAAGAAGCATAAAAACAATTGTAATACATGGTCTTTGATTGAAGTCTGGTTTGAAAAACAAAACAAAACAAAAACTACACAATATATTCTGAAACAGAGATTTGATAACTAAATTGTATTATAAAACTACTGTTAATTTTTGTTAGTTGTGATAATGGCATTGCAGTTTATATGATGGAATGACCTTTTTTTTTTTTTTGGAGAGCCACTCTGACATACTCAAAAGTATCATGACATCTCTAATTTACTTTAAAATTAAAAGAAAGAAGCAAATATAGCAAAATGTGAAGAATTGTTGAATCCGGGTATCTATTACACTCTTGAAAATTTTTGTAAATTAGAAAATAAAAATCCTAATTTACCTGTACGTATACACAACCATTGCCACTCACTTCCACCGTGTAGTTTCTGTTCGTTGTCGGCAGTTGGGTTTGTTGTAGCAGCAAACGGTTCTCATCATTCACTTGGAAGCCAGCGGAGAAAGCTTGATCAGAACGAATCAGCACTGAATTTTGTCTGTTTTTAGAGAAAGTGAGCCTTTGGAACACGGTCAGGGCTTGGAGAGCCAAAACAGTATCCTAAAATAATAATGTCGTAAATTGTATTAGAGCATACTATGGGATTTAGAAATCTTAAACTAAATAGAGCTGTGAATCATTTAAAAGCAATTTAAAATGCAATAGCCTTCTTTTTTTTGGTGAACTACTGTGTCTTGAGTACTGTAAAATTAATTGAAAATAAATGGAGTTAATGCCAACATTTCTGTCTTTAAGTTCAACCTTTAAACTAACACAGACAAAAACATCATTTAATAGAATAAAAATGTGAGAAAAGCCAAGGAAATTTGAAAGGTGCCTAACGAGTCAGGCTTTGTTCTATCAGATATTAAAACATATAACAAAGCCAAAAAGCCACTGGAAAAGAATAGAAAGCCTTAAAAAAAACACCAAAATATATATAACTTTATTATACAATAAGTCAGTATTTCGAATCATTGGGGAAATTAATTATTAAGTAAATGACATTGAGACAACTGGCTGGCCATTAAAAAAAGGAAGTTATGTCTCTACCACACACCATAAATCAAACTACCTCCTAGATAGCTTAATAATTGAAATGTAGTAAATTAATCCATAATAGTACAAGAAAGTATGGATATATGTTTTTATAATAGTTTTTGTGTTGAGAGCTTCTTGTAGCATGGTATTAAAGCAAGAAACCTTAGAGTGATTATACTAGGTAAAAGTGAAAAGAAAATAATCTGTATATTTAAAGCATGATAAAAGTGAAAATGAAAAATCGGCAAGAGTATATGTATAATATCTTTACCGTATTCTAAAATCTTATCAATAGTCAACAGAAAGATTAATATTCCTATTGGGAAATGTGCAAATGATATGACCAGGCAATTGATAATACATAAAATAAAAGAGGGCTTTTAAAAATGAAAGCCTATTGTACCTAACTAAACAGTGGAGATTTATTTTGATATGGAGTGAGTTACAATTTTTATTGCACCAGATCAGAAAGATTTTTACAAATGAAGTCATATAATGAAAAGTACTCACACATCACTGATGCACAACGCAAACTGATACAACTGTCTGATAAAAAGTTTACCGATACATATCACAACCTTTAATTTTGAGTGTCCTTTCATACACCAACTTTAAGATGGCTTTTAAACTCCCATTTTAAAAATTAAAAGAAAATTAACTTTTGAATAAACACTTAGAGATAGTTACTAGATAAAATGTTATACTCTTCAAAAAAACTTAAAAGATAGCAAATTTTAAAAAACAACAGCAAGTTTTATAGTGACAACAAACCCATTTAATTGGATAAATGTAATATATAAACTCAAAGACCAATACCACCAATACAAAGCGGTGGTTTAATTTTCTTGTACTTAGAGATTTGAAAAAGATAGTTACCCTCGTGGAGGAGAAACCTCCATAGGAATTTTGCTGCTTTGCCACCCACTGTACAATCTGAGAAGCATAGGACCGCTCTTCTGAGGTCAGCTGTGGCTTGGAGAGAATGGCCAACAGGACATAAGAGGTCATCTCTATCTCTGCAGAGGAAGCCCAAGGGTAGTAGGGATATGCACCTGCCACAGAGTGCAGCTTTTCTAGTTCCCAGTGCACTGAGCCACCTGACAAAAAAAGTGCAAAGAATTCAGCAGTGTCCATGTCAAAGCATGGGATATGTATATGGTCAGATGGGGCATATTTGAGGAGTATAAATCTGACAATGGAAAATAAAAATGAGGGTAATATTACTCAGTCATAAAGAGAAATGAAGTCCTGATACAGGCTACCACATGGATGAACCTTGAAAACATTACGCTGAATGAAATAAGCCAGTCTCTAAAGGACAAATATTATATGATCCCACTTACATGAAATATCTAGAATAGGCAAGTATATGAGACCAAAGTTTATTAGTGGTTACCAGGGCCAGGCAGAAGGAAGTGGGGAAAGATGGAGTCATTGCTCAAGGGTAATGGAAAAATTTGGAAATGAATAGTGGGGCTGGTTGAACAACATGATGAACACAATGAATGTCGCTGAATTGTATGTACATGCAAAAAATGTTGAAGTGGCAAATGTTTTATTGCATATATATTGACCATAAGAAATAAAAAGATGAAACACAACGGTATGATAAGTACACCACTGCTAACCATTCCACTTACTCAAGATGCGAATTGTTACTGGGAAAGGTCCAGTGCACTCACCTACTTTCTTTGCTTTTTTGTTCAGCTCATTGATAAAGAATTTCCTTCTGTCTTCATAGCCCGCTAAAGTGAAAGTGTAGGCCAGAAGGGCCTGCTCATAGGTAGTAATCGCCCTGTCCATAGATGCAGCCCGTATGCATTGGAGACCATTTTGAATTGCCACCAACTGCAAGGGAAAGAAAAGCAAAAATCATTTGCATACACAAACACATATGTGCAAAGGCAGATATTGTTGTGTTCATCACTGGAAAAAAACAGGAATACTCTTGTCTGCGTTGAAATGTTCAAAGGATAAATGCCACACACACATTTTAATTTCTATATAGTTACACATGCAAGATGTGATTTGCCTATTAAGAAGGATATTAATTCAGCATTACTTTGTGGTAGCTACAAACATAGTCCTTGTCTGTATTAATGCATTGTTGGAGTAAAATATTTTGAGTGTATAAGAAGCAAGTTAGGAGCATCACCAGAGGGCTACGTACCGAGATTGGGTGACCAGCTTCAATCAGTGCATTGATAACATATGCAGTGAGAGAAATCTTATCATCTTGTCCCTGAATAAAACATAGGGGCAACATGTCAGTCTCATGGAATTCAGAGGGAGAGATGCCTTTCTCTGTTTATGCATTGTTTATATTTGGAAAACTCAGATAGGTTGCTTTCTCTCTGCATTTTTTTTGGGGGGAGGGTGAGTTTTTTTTTACTTCTTCAAAAGGTGCTGTTTATAAAATCAGAAAGTAGCAAGTAAAAATCCAGAGAATTTATAGGAATAGGACCATCACTTTTAAAATAATTTATGGACCTAAGGAGGTATTTGTAATCAAAGGAGGCATAGAGTGCTCTGCAAACTTCTATCTCAATACTCACCCTCCTCCTTACCCTAGAAATAATACAGAAAATTGCATGGAAAATGCATGCTATAATAGTACAAGAGTAAAGAGTGTAGTATAAAATAAAAAGATAGGTCAGTGGAACAGAACAGGTAGACCAGAAAGAAATCCTAGCAAGTATGGAAAACAGTGTAAGAAAGTTGATTCAAAAATTAGTTGAGGTGTTAATTGACAAAGAGGTGTTAAGATAAACATGACCTATTTAGAATACAGGAATAGATCATACACAGATTATACAATACACTGAAATGAATTCTATCAGGTTAATATTAGTTATAAAGAAAATAAAAGTAACCCAGAAAGATTAAAGGGCAATTAATAAGCACATGAAAAGTATTTGTCTTCAGAACCAATTGACTTGTAAACAAAAATAGACATGAAGCACCCCATACTTTTTGCTCCTACATTTGTGAAGATTTTTGTTTTTAATACCTATCTTATTCAGTGCTAGCAATAGTGGTATAAGTCAGATAGATGCGCAATACGTGATAGAAGTGTAAATTGGAATAACTATTAGAAAACAATTTGGTGACATTACTTCACAATCCTTAAAAAATTCCATTTCTAGATATATATCCTAAGTCAATAATCACCAGGGACAAGTATTTATATGTAATACCGTTTATAAAACATTATTGAAAATTCAATGAGAGTAATAAGTAGGTTATAGTTTGTCCATGTGGTAGATTATTATAAAGCTATTAAATTTATGTTCTTAAATCATTTTAATGACTTCATTACATATAATGTTAGGTTTCAAAAAAAGGACACTAAAAAATAATAGATTATAATCCCAATTATGGAAAAACATGTTTATATATTATAGGAAAAAAGACTGAAAGAAAGAAAATATGCCATAATATTCATGGTGGTTATTGCTGAATTGTTGACATATGAATGATATTTTGATACATTCCTTATATTAAATTCTCTAAGCTACTTTCAATAAATATTACCATAATAATCAGGAAGAAAATGTAAGTTTAGGAAAAACTCTAAAATAAAAGGCAAATTCATTCATCAACACTTACCTTGGGGGTATTAACAAGTAAAAGCTAAACAAATTGAGTTCAAATAATTAAACTATATTAACAAAGAATTTCTTAAATGATAAAGTCTTACAATATTAGTGAGTATCCTAGTTCTATTATTACTCTTACTTCCATTCATACTTTTACTAATAATCCTGCCACTGCCGCACCCCCATCCCCTCCACCATCACCACAATTACTGTTAGAAAAATCTGAGTTTTTAGAGTTTTTAATCTGATGGAAAGAAAGAAAATGCTGCATTTGTTAAGAAGAAAGGTGTCCTAGGCTAGGTTCTCTAGAGAAGCAAAGCCAGTAAAGCATATAAATATATA